AATGAACACCCAATGTTAGTCTTGAAATGGTGTTTGCACTCTTTGAATTGGTGTGATCCTCCAAAGTTCCTTGAACTCCAATCGGACAACCCCTCCACTCAATCCACCAAGAAAGTGTGTAGTGTTTTAGAAGTTTTCCCCACCTAGGTCAAGAAGAAAACACAACCCAAGAGTACAAGAGGCCAAGAAAGAAAAACTAAAAAGGCACAATTAAGAAAAGGCTAAACTCAAATGGAATTTATGAGACAAACTTAAGAGTAGAAAGAAGACTCAAAAACTGAAATTAAGGCACATTAATAAAAGGCAAGCACACAAAAGAGTAATGCCTACAACGGTACTAGAATAGAATGGCAAGTAGGTTTAAAAGAGAAATGATGCACTTAACATGTTTGATTTATTGTCTCATTCGGCCATTAAGTATTGTCCAACGGTTCAAGAATTTACTCCAAGTGCTATGGTATGAAAGTTGGTCCAAAACTCCACAAGTCTAGCAAAGGGTTCCCTTTTTCTTGTTTTTGGTTTCTTTGTTCTTTTTGGGCTTGTCCAAGTCTCGGTTTCAATGTTCCAAGTCCAGCCACATTTTATCTTCTTTTTTTTGAATTTTATACTATTCCTTTGCTTGGGTTTTACACTTGTTTTTAGTGGCTTTGTTAGCAACTTTTTGGAGTATTCTTTTAGCAACTTACACTAGCTCAATGAGACAAAAATTGAGTGTTTTTCTTAGGTTTTTAATAGCCCATGTCCAGTAGCAAAATAGGCATAAAGAAATCAATTTCACACTCAAATTATCAAACATCATGTAGGCATACAAGTTCACCAAGGAATACACAAAATTGGCCGAAAATTTGAAGCAAATATGTGTAAAGAATTTAATCACACATGATATTCTAAGTGATGTAGAACATGCTAGAACTAATTAGCATTCATGATTGACTCTCTAAAGCACTCTAAACCCCACGACCATTTCAACAAACACAAGGCATGCATATCATATTTTGATCATGAAAGTGTCTACACATGTGAACTTGGAATTTTCTTTAAAGAAAAATTAGGGCAAATCATACTCTTATGACAAAACTTAATAGATTAAAAAAAGAAAATCATATGATCGTCATTTTTTTTAGCATGCACCAAAATTTTCCAGCCACCCACACTTAAACCAAACATGGGTGAATCCTACATAAGGAATCCTAGGCACAAGGATGATTCATAAGAAAATTTAGAGCATGAATCAATGATCAACACAAGACATATAGACCAAGAGAATGTGTATATCAAGCACAAATTTTAAGACAAACAAGAAGACACATTAGACATGACCGAATTTATGAGAGACCAAAAACGTTACCCTTGAAGAACCTTTGGCTCTAGATACCACTTGATGGCATCCTTGCTAGCATTGATGGTTTGGTTAATCAATGTGAGGACACCTTGACTCCTTGGATCAAGTCCTTCAAGGGAGGCGTTTCGTTTAGAGGAGGAATATGGTAGAATGGACGAAAATGGAGAGTTTGGGTGCAGTGTTTGATGAAAGATTTGAGAGGGCACTCTAGGGTTTGGCTCACTTCAAGGTAGATGAAGGTCACTTCTAGGATTTAGCTCTCAAGGTGGAGATAGGACGGGAGGTGGCCAAAAATAGCCAAGGTGACTAAGGATGATATAAAGGCAAAACGCTCTCTTTATATTCAATTTCCAAAGTATTTACATGATGCATAGCCTAGGGTATTTATAGGAGTGGGAGGCATCTAGGGTTGCATTTGGAGAGTGCATGGCCGAAATTCACAAGGCAAATGCACACCAAATGAAATGCAAATTAACCCTAGATGCAACTTGGTGGCCAAGGATGGAATCTTTGGGATTAGTTAGGCTACATCTAGGTGCATGATAAGACCATTCAACATTTGCCCTCCACTTGGGCCTAAGCCTTTCTAACACCAAAAATAGGTCCAATAGCCACAAAAATACGTCTAGGTTTTTGTTCCCACCCTAATCAAATACCTTAGCCCAAAATTAAAAACCTATGATCTAAAGCACCCCATAATACAAGGGTAAAATCGGAAATACAAAAGAAAATAAATCCTATTACTAAAATACCCCAAAATACAAGGGTAAAATTGGAAATACAAGTAAAATAGATCCTATGTCTAAGATACTCCAAAATACAAGGGTAAAAATAGAAAATCAAAGATAAGGGCAAAATAGGCATAAAAATAAATTCTAGGCTACCAAAGTTTAGGAGAGTGATTAGTGTATTTAATCTTGAGAAGCATGTCTTCTAGGGTTTTGACTTCCCTATCCTCTTCCAATCTCCTAGCCATTGGCTTAGTGATGGGTCCTACACGAAGCTCCATGGATGGTCCTCCATCATAGTTTCTGCGGGTATTACTAATTCTTGGGGGCAGGTAATTCATATCAAAATTTATTTAAGTATATTTATCTTTATGAAGATTAACATTGCATATTAATGAAACTTTAAATTAATGTTTCAGGTCTTTCAAGATCCATCTTCATTGCCCGAAGATGAAATCATCAAGATAAGAGAACAATGGGCAACTTTTTTTCTTCAAAGTATACAATAGTTAGATTTCTAAGTTTAGTTAGTTGCGTATTATGTTTCTAGTTTGATAGCATTGACAAACATATGTTCTATAGCTTTTTTACGATAATAGGATTTATATTGTCTTAATTTATACTTTTTAAGATTTATATATTATTTTCTTTTTGTCATTCAATTTTGAAATATAAATTATATTTGAATTTGTATTTTGGACTGCCTGGGTTAAGTTTTGTATTTTGGAATTTATGCAGGTTTTGGGTGTATCAAAAATTAATTCAAATTTAAAAAAAAATGCATACATTTACGTGGGACATGGTATAGTCCGACATAAATAGTTAACTGTTTTTGTTTGTTTTACAACACTTTTCTACGTTGGCTCTAGATAATGTCCGACATAAATTTACGTCTCCCACATTAACGTCGAACCCTTTTTTGATGTAAAAAGCTTTACATAACCGACGTAAATTACCCCTTTTGTACTAGTGGATGTAGGTCACATGTGGAGTGGCTAAATCAGGATAAATCACTTTGCATTATTCTCTCACCCTTATCTTTTACATTAAACAATCTTTACTTGAAAGTTAAAATGGCTGCTTATGATTAATATAGTTGTGTGATTAAAATGGTTTAAATTGAACATAAGCACTACATGTTAATTTGTTTTTTAAATTGATTCAATAAAGATTAATCAAGAAATCATATAGGAGTTATTGCCATATACTAAGAGGTTCAATATACTTCATTGGAAATTGGTTTTAGAAAAGTTTTAAAGAAATTAAGATCCTTAAACTCTGATAAATTTTTAAGTGTCAATAAATCCAATTCACCCCCTTCTTAAATTGAGTTATTCTTTTCTATCAACATTTTTAAACATTTTTAAAAGTACTTATGACCAATCAAATAGATTTTATCATTCTTAAACATAATGATTCCCAAAATTAATGATTCTTAGGAACCATGATTGTTTATACATGTCTCATTATTTTCTAATGGAAATATATATAATAAGTATGAATAAAATACTAGAGCTTACTTTAACATATATGATAATCTTTGCAAGGAAATGTTAATACTTTTCGATGAGCCATAACAAATTAGAAAAAGAAATTAATTACTTAATTTTTCCATTGTTTATTAACAATGAATTAACTATTGGATTGGCATGGTAAGAGGTCGGAATCCATGTTGAAGAGCTGAATCACAAACTTTTTCTATGCTATGCATCGTGTAGTTGCATTCATGTTCATTCCAACTTTCTAAAGAGTACAATATCCCAGCTATGCGTGATGCACTCATTACCCTCCTTGCCAACCAATTTTGCAATATATGTATAATGTTCAAAGTTTTGCCACTTGGAATAGTAAAAAAATAATGCAATCATCCATACACAATTGAATAGAATGATTGAATCAATTAAACAATGATCTAGACAAACCTCACAAGAATGAACAGTTTCAACAGATTTGGGAATTAACATTGCTGGAGTCCAATGGTAGGAACAATCTTTACGATATTTCTTTGGTGGAAATTGTGAGTATGGAATAAATAATGTTCCTTTGGGTGCCTTCAATTGTTCCTCTTCGGTCAATTCATCTCCAACTAACCAAGTCTATATATATATATATATATATAAACTAAGCTAAAAAATCGAAGAACCCTGTTTGTCATTGTTGACAAGGTTGTATGAAAATCAAGGTGAAATTATTATAAGAATTATTTTTCATACATTTTTTTACATAAATGTTTATGATTAATTTTAAGTTGTTTTTAGTAAAGTATGCTATAAAAATACTAGTAAAAATGTGTTATATTACCATTTGGGTGTAGCTTTTTGCAATGATCAAATTAGTTTCAAAGTTAATGGATGAATTTTGAGGTCTCTCGTAATCATCCTTGTGCATTGTTGAAACCTGAAATATAGTTAATTATGATATCAAAATTAGAGGATTTCAAAATTAAATAAGCATAAATTTCTTATGTATCTATTTATCTATTTATATGTGTGTAAAACTCACCTTAACGCCTTGTTGACACAATGTGTAGGCAAAAGCATTAGTAACCTTAGTGAGTTTTCCCCTAAGTAATACTTGAGTTGTTCCTTTAAGAATGTTGTTAAGAACAATAGCAACAACAAGGCTGCTTCCATCTACAACCTTAACTTTTAGCTTAGGATGCCTACTAACGTATAGCCCTCCATAGATGTTAAGCTCCTCTCCTTGATTCATTAGGCCTAGGCTCAACACTTTTATGCCCTTTTTGTCTGCATCTAGTATTGCTTCCTCTATCATTTTGTTGATGGTCATTTGTTGTGATTGTGAAATATACAAAATATTTCATAGTTATATAAATTATTATTTTACACCACCATATAAATATAATATATCATTGGTCACATATAATTATATTAAATCTTTACTAAAATAAACAATCACTTAAATGATGATACAAAATAAAATATAAAAAAAGTAGTCAAACAACTTGTTAGTTACATATAGACATGTCAACTTCATATATACAATATTCTTTAGGATATTATGAAGACATTTTTTTTAAAAAAAAAGTAATGTTTCCATTTAATATTAAATAATAAATGGTTTTGAATAAATGTCTATGAAATTGGCAAAGTACATTCATATTTAATTAAAAAGAAAGAAATTTTTAATATTTACTTGAAATTTATATTCGGGTATTGCCCAAGTTTGTAACTTGAGTTTGTCAAAATTATTTGGCTCCACAATGAATGTACGACCATAGGCCCATGTAAGAATCATAGACCAAGTTGTCACAGGCCACATCAAACAAAGGTAAAATTTTGGTGTGTATGGCTTGGAGGCTAGGTAAGCAAATCCAAATCTGAGATGATATATGGATTTAGGAGTAGTTAAGTGCGTGAGATGCACAACATCTGGCATTTCTTCTTGTCGTATTCTTGCTGAATAATGTAATTGGTCTGAGGTCTTGTCCGTGGTGCCATAAATGTAGTCATAAAATGGCATAAACAAAGAGTAATTTGTCCTGAATTGTGTATGATGTAAAGAGTGAAACCTGTGAAATATATGAAAATAATTAAGTATACTTTGTTGTCTTTTGTAAGTAAATATGAAATTTAAACCATTAATTTTAATGTAATAGTTGTGATTAAATGTTCTTATTTATCGCAAAAGCAAAATATCCTCACCTAATATGTGTGTGAGAGTAATACTTGATTAGAGAACGATAAAAATAAATGAACTTTCAAATTAAGATAGTCATGCATTGGATTACACTTAAAAAATTGTGCTTGAAATTAAAAGTCAATTATAAATACATCTTGTGAGAATATTATTAGTTGTCGCCTCCATTCACTATCATCATAATCAATTACTATCCATATAACATTGTGGTGACAATAATGATAATTGAAATAGAGATGACAACAATACCAATGACATGAATAATCTTATAAAAGGTGTCTATAATTTGTGTTTAAATCACTACTAGAAAATTACAAAATAGCGACCGATTTAGCGACCAAAATAAGTCGTCGCTAGAAAATCAGTCTCTATTCCGGTCGTTAAATAAGAAATTTTAATTTTTTTAGCGACCGAATTAAATTTGGTTGCTATTTCAGTCGCTAAATTATAGATTTTGATTTTTTTTTAGCGACGAAATTGAATTCGATCGCTAAATATTAGTTAAACTTAGCGACGAAATTGAATTCGGTCGCTAAATAGCAGTTAAATTTAGCGACAGAATTGAATTCGATCGCTAAATATTAGTTAAATTAGCGACAGAATTGAATTCGGTCACTAAATAGTAGTTAAATTTAGCGACAGAATTGAATCCGGTCGCTAAATAAGAAATTTTGATATTTTTAACGACGAAAATAAATTTGGTCGCTAAATATTAGTTAAAATTAGCGACGAAATTGAATTCGGTCGCTAAGTATTAGTTAAAATTAGCGACCGATATCAATTCGGTCGCTAATTAAAAATTATGATTTTTTACGATGGAATTGAATTCGGTCTCTAAATCAAAAATTTTGATTTTTTTAGCGATAGAATTAAATTCGGTCTCTAAATTAGAAATTTTGATTTAGCGACGGAATTAAATTCGATTGCTAAATATTTGTTACAATTAGCGATGTAATTCTATTCGGTCGCTAGATATTAGTTAAAATTAGCAACGGACTTCTATTCGGTCACTAAGTAAAACTTAAAAAAATTATAAATTGCTTAAAAGTGATGATAATATTGTTGTGGAGTATCAATCCCATTTTATTTTTTGTAAGAGCAAGACATTAATTTATAATAAAAAAATATTTATATGCACTCCTACATACCAATAGTTATTTATGTGAAAAAATATTTTGAGGTTTTTTTTTATGATTGGATTTTTAGGCAATTTTTTAATTAGAGTATATGAAATTTAAAATTTTTTATTTATTTTGATCAATATTTATAATATATATTTCTAACTTATGATAACTTTATTTTTAAATAAATTTTTATATTTAAATTTTATTGATAGAAGAGATGTGATATCTTAAAGAAAAAAAGAATTATAACATCCTCTCTTTTTCTAATAGGAAGAGTACAAATGTATTTTCTTAACTATTATTATTTCTTTATTGTGGTAAGATAAAATTGATTATTTTAAATTATTTTAAATTATTTAACTAGAATCGTATTAATAATTTACTATATGATTTTAATATTTTTGTATAACTAATATCTGATTTTAAACTTGATATGAAAATATTATGATATAACTAGATAAGATTTTAAATTAGTATTTTATTAATGGTTGATAATTAGAAAATAAAACAAGGATAAATACATTTTTTGAATTTTATATCTTAGATTTAAGATGAATAAATATATTAAGTTAATTAATAATTTATTTAAAATGTTAAAATTTAATTTATAAAAATAATATTTTAAAAGAGAAGGGTTATAATAACATCGGTGTAACTTTTACTAAGTATTACATCGCTCAATAACTTTATATTAAATGTGAATTTTATAAATTCAACCGTTAGATTGAAAGTTTTTTACTCTTAGATCATATATACAAAATTTTATATTAATTCAAGATGATTTGATACTTCATTCTTGTAAAACAAAATTGACGTAATATATACATTTCAAATAAAATATGAGCACTTTGATTACTTTTAAGTTGTTGTTCAATTTTAACAAAAATTGATATAAACATATAAAGTGATATGAACTTTCAATCTAACGGTTGGATTTACAAAATTCACATTTAATATAAAGTTATTGAGCGGTGTAATACTTAGTAAAAGTTATACCAGTGTTATTATAACCCTTCTCATTTTAAAATATATAAATTATTACTTAAACTTTTAAATTTATAATAAATAATTTAAATTGTATCATAAAATTAATTTTAAATAGAAATAAGTAGATTGTTAATTATAAAAGTAAGTATATATATAAATAAAGATTAATTAAATATAATATAATTATTATTATTAGTAATATAATTATTATATATTATTATATATTTATAACGGTCCGGATACACCAAAATAATAAGGATCCAAAGATAATATAAGTATGAGATTGGATAGTTGAGGATGACTTAAATGAATTAATTTGTATTACTTATACTAATAACATGTATCTGCTTTTCAGTAGGTTATCTCATAAGAACTTCAAAATTAAGCGTGCTTGACTTGGAGTAATATATGGATAGGTGACCTTCTGGGAAGTTTCCAAAAATTGTGTAATTAAGGACAAAACATGCTAAAAAGTTAAGTATTGTGAAATAAAATCCTTAAGAGGCCAAATATGAGTGGTTCGTAGCGACCAAATTTGAGACGTCTATAAAATTTAATAAAATAAAAAATAAATATTTAGCGACCGATTTATTCGGTCATTAATTTGGTCCTATACACTTCAGCGACCAAAATCATTGCAACCATTTAGTGACCGAAATTTTCGATCGCTAAATAGCAACCGAAAATTTTTCCGTCGCTAAATAGCTTAGCGACTGATTAAATTCGGTCCTTAATTTGGTCGCTAAGGTAAATAGCGACCGAATTTTACAATTTAGCAACCGATTTTGGTGGTCACTAAATTGCATATTTTTTTAGTGAATTTATATCACAATTATTTTTTTAATTGTTTTTCAAGAGTTGTCATTGAAAGTTTTCATTTTTTTTAATTAAAAATGTCTTTTATATGTATAGCACTAGCATGGACTATTTAATGAGAGAACTTTTATTATGAGTGTAACGACCCGACTGGTCACTACACCCTACACAGTACACCTGAAAACCGGACAGAAAGGAACAAGTGTATACATATAGTGTCTAGAATATACATATATACATGGTCCAAGTCTGACTAGATTCAAAATGTACAAAATACATCCAAAGTTACTACACCAAGTAACTGAAACAACAAAACATCAACAAGGATCAACTCCGCCTACCAGCTGCAGACTCACCACTAGCCACCAACCTATCCCTGCTCTGCTCCCATACATAGTATGATCATCGCAGTCCAAACCACATGGAAACAACAAAGGGTAAGCTAGTGAAAAGAAACAACATACATACATAAAATATGAATGATAAACAGCTATCAACACATCAACCAGCTTAACAACGTCAACCTATAATGTATCACAGCACACATCTCACATCATTCAGCAATATCAGCAGTAAACAGCAATAACACACAATGCGTCCTCACGCATATTAGTTAGTATTGGTCGCTTGTAATCGGTATAGCTCGACCTGGCCCCTATACCGTGGTCGCTTTGTACACGTGTGCCTCGACCTTGCCCACACACGGGACCACTAAGACTTAGAGGAGAACAGCAAGTTACCACTCCAAGGGTCAGCTTTCCAGGGAGTGTTTTCAACAAATTGGGCTCGCAAAGCACCACAATCGCTGCATCCACACAATGGGATGAGGTAAATTTCGAAAACAACTCCTCTAGTCTTAGTGATCAACAACTCAGCCTTACGGCCTACAACAACTCAGCCATTACGGCCTACAACAACTCAGCCTTTACGGCCTACAACAACTCAGCCATTTCGGCCTACAGCAACTCAGCCATTACGGCCTACAGCAACTCAGCCATTATGGCCTACAACAATTTATATCAACATTCAACACAACACAACTTTTACAACTCAACATATCAACTTGCAACACAACACAACTGTACAACTCAACATCAACTTGCAACACAACACAACTATACAACTAAACATCAACTTGCAACACAACTCAACATCAATCAACCATCATCATCTACTAGTCATCACATT